AATTAGTTAATTCCCAGAAACACAATTTAAGTGGAGAATGTAATTGCAGGAAGCAAAATATGCCAAGTTACAACAAAGCAGTCGTCATATTCAAGGACTGCATCTGTGGTTCTTATATTCGAATGCCGGACTGCTGAAAGAAATCAGTAATCGTGCAGGAGGTCCTGCGACTCGACTCGACCGAGGTTTTCGTGGATTTCCTAGTTCCTTGAAAAAGACCCAAAACCACATAGCACCTGCATGCTTCTTATAGAGCCCTCCAAATTTAAATGCCAGACAAATATCCCATTGCAATAAATGTTCGGCCCAAATTATTTTCTAAATTGTTCATTCAATAATAATAAGAATTTTAAGGGGCTGCTGCTACCTACCTACAAAATTGAGATTACAGCTTCACCAGCCAGAATTCAGTCCATTAATTAGATTATTTTAGGTAACAATTATTGTGTCGTACCTAATTAACACCATAAAGCAGAGTCTTTTTCAGGAAACTGATGTCACTCAGTTGGTCAAAGAATTCCTCATCACATAATCATAACGCGAGCCAATCCTGAACTATAGAGGTTGGTCATTTAGTGCGCAGTCCTGTCGTCCGATGGCGCCACCAAACTTGGATGCGTTTTGTACAGAAGTTACAGCTTCGACCGCCAGAATGCAGTCCACTAATTAAACGTATTTCAGTAAACAATTGTGTTGTACCAAATTAACTATATAAAGTACAGTCTTTCTCATGAAACTTATATCACTCAGTTTGCCAAAAAAAATTCCTTATCACTGACATATAGCCTGAGCCAGTTGACCACATACCACACCCCTATCCTGTGTTTCTGTAAGATCCATTTCAATATTATTCTCCCAAGTGGTCATCCTGTGTTTCTGTAAGATCCATTTCACTATTATTCTCCCAAGTGGTATCTTCTCTTCAGATTTTATTTATTTTGTATATATTTCTCACCTTTGCCAGGAGTGCTACATGCCTTGCCCATTCCTTCTTCTATTGTTTCATCTCAATATTTTGTAAACAATACAACTTATCTTCAAAAGCTTTTATTGCTTTTAAATTGAAAATAGATCTACATTTCTTACACATCTAAATCCAACAGAGATGCATTCTGAAGAAAATACAGTCTATATGTGACCTTAAGTGAACACTGTGAACATAAAATAATAAATGCATTGTAAGAATATATTTAGATAAACATCAAACTGAATAATCCTATACACCCACTGATAAATGCATTAATTCATTAATTATCCCATGCAAGAAGTAGCATATTTTCATGATGAATAATTAACTTTCTCACCACTGTTCCTACTTACAGAAGCTTATCTTCTATTCTCTTCCTTTCCACACCCAATAGAGTCACAGGTGTAGCTAGTGATCACATTGTTAGTGACCTGCTAATTCTTGAAAATTAATGCTGTTTTAATGGAAAGTAGTAACTACAGAAATTACTCATACAGGCAGATGAGGAATATAATAATCATCTAATTCATCTAAAGACTTGTTCGTCATTGGCCGAACTGTCTAATATTGGTATACCAAACCATTTCTGCAAACTAATGATTCAGAAAAATACATACATATACATATATTTGTATTCTGACTGAACATTTTTATATGTACCATCACTTAGCTAAAAAAAAGCATATATATCAGATTTAATGATAACTTATGGTTGTTGCTGTTATATGTAACTTTTAAGCTGACCACCATTTTGTAAAACCCAAGAGGAAAATATATATGCCCTATTTTACTTTGTTTATAGGCACAATTCTAAACTTCTGATTTGGTTCTCCATGCTTTTTGAAAGCTATGACTTGAGTTCCAGCTTTCTTGGATCCTTTCTGAACATCCAGTACAAGTCCATCTTCATTCCTAATAGTGAAGTCATCATCGAAATACCATTTCTGCTTTGATGTTTCACTTGGCTCAACCATTACAATTCTGTTATCTGAGTCAACATCTATGACAAGACTGTAACAGAAATATTGAAAAGGTCAGTTGCTAGCTTGAAGATACCAAAGACTGATTTACTTTGCTACAACTCTGAGATTACATCTTATAGATGTAACATACTTAAAATCTGGATCATAACAATTCTACACAGAAATGTGCCATTAATTTATGTAATTATTAATTTATAGTTCTTGTAACATCACCATGTATGCTGAAGCATTTTAAGGAAAACAGGAACCAGGCAGTCTTCACAGAGCTCTTTATTTTTTAAACTGTGGTCATTACTTACATGAAGGGCACAATATTTGTAACATCATCTATCAGTTCTTCAGTATCTATCTCGAATAATCTTAAGTTGGAACATATACCATATGAGACTGTTTCAGTCAATTCCAGCAGCAAATATTATCCTTGTATATTACAAAATATTCTGTGTACACATGAAGTAACAAGTGAGAAACTGAACTGTACTACATACTTGTTTAACTTGCTGAAGATCATGCCATTGTTGTACCTCCATTGTTGATTCTTTTTACCATGGAAGTCATATACAATCACATCTATTCCAGCAGCCTCATTTTCACCTCTAACATCCAAATATAAGCCATTATCTACAGATTGGATGTAGAAAGCCATTTCACACTGCAAGGACATTTAACGGTGATGAGTACATTTTTTAATTGACAGAAACTTATGCTGTCTTTGTGGGCACAATTTTGTATGGAACAAAATGGAAAACCCAATCAATATCTGGAGAAAAATGTTACATAACCTTTTAGATCAAACCATTACAAACCATTCACTAGTCTGAGACATGTGATTCCTATTATCATCTTTATTTTAACACATGAAACATGTATGTAATTTAATAAGCATTATCAGATAGATACTTTAGGGTTGATCAGCACGTTTTGAATGCAAAGAAGGAAGCCTGAATGAAATGTGAGATTTTCATGGTGGTGAATAACAGGAATTTGGTCTTTTGGGCTACGATGTCATGTGGTCTTGTTGATAGTACCATGAAGATGGAGGTGATATGCCCTCATGAAACACTGATAACTACATACAAGTCACAATTTAGAAGTTTGTGTTTTTCCACTCTTAATCCATTCATTCTGTAAAGGCTATGCATTCATTATGCTGTCATCAACATGACAAGTCAAGATGATAGGATTTTTAAAAGTAAGAAAGTAGTGTTGAGGTCTGAAAGGCCTCATCACCAAGGTGATCCCTGCAGTCAAATAAGATGTCAGCACGGACATTACATGTATGCGGCTAGACACTGCATGCTATGAAAAGAGTTAGTACCTGATGCTGTGAATTTATCAGCTTTCACCGAAACCACTGGAGGGCGAAATAAAATATACAAACAACTTAATTTTACCTTTCAATATTACAGCTGTGTTCTGAACCACAAAAGTTAATATATACGATGATCTCATCTACCGGGTATACCACGTAGTCGTTCATATACTAGTTACAACCAGTTAAAAATATTAAAATTCAGTTAAGTATCTAATTAAAAAGTAAAGTATACATTTGCGTAACCTGTGTGTACACTCATGTAAATTACGATTATTTAAAACGGACACTACAAATTAGGCTCACAGTATTAAATTATAGGGAAATTTTGCACTTTCCACTGCAGTCACCAGTACCAGAAACATGTCTATTGTAAATAGTAATGTTTTTAATGAAAATAAATGATTGTAAACTGATGTAAAATCCTTTCCATTTTATTTAATACCTTCTAAAGCGTCCTGCGAATAACATCTGGAATTGACAGAGATGTTCCAGTTTAGGGAAAGTATCCGACGAGTGTGGGTGGTATTGGCTATACTGCTGTGTGTAGGACAGTCCATTTTCCCGCATAAAGTGACATGAAGTTAAAACTAAAGTAAAATAAACGTAAAATAGAGGAAAATGGATTTCTTAGAGTATTCAGACATATCAGCCGAAGTGAAGGGTGCTATGGTAAGGACACCTTGTTATATTTTATGCATTTTAATGTTATTTATATAACAGGTTAGGTTTGATTGTAGGAACTACTGAATCTAATAAATTTATTTGTATAACTGAGGTTAGGTTTAATTTTTGGAACACTCGAACTTTTTCAGAAGCGGTTCGTGTAATATTGGTGCCGACAACGCATTAAAAACATAATAAAATTAGCTCATTAATTTGAAAACAAGGCTCTTATGAAAGTCAAACACATTGTGTATGCAATACTTAACCTTGCCTATTACTATAAATGACCATTGTGACTATTACTAGCCGATTTATAAACTCTGGCCCAATATAAAATTAATTTAAAACTCAGATGATGGCTAGTAACTGTCATCCAGTGTTGATTCCAGGAAGTGTGTTATTCAAGACTATATATGTTCATGTATATATATATATTTTTTTTTTTAACTAAACTCTACATGATTACTGCATTGTGTTTAAACTCTATTCTAGCCTCATATGGAAAACATTTTAACCTGTCAGCTATTGAATGTGGATGCTAGTGGCTGTTGATGATTGTGTGGAAATGTGGAAAATTGATATTAAATTAAGTGATAAACTGTCCAACTTTTCTGTGACATATTGTAAGCATTTGCTTTTACAGTGCCCTGGACGGCTAAAGTTGACTGACCAGCATATTATCTTTAAGAACAGCAAAACTGGAAAAGTGGAGCAAATAACAGCATCTGATTTAGATATCGTTAATTGGCAAAGATTGGTTGGAACATGGGGAATCCGAATATTCCTGAAAAATGGAACTCTTCATAGATTTGGTGGATTCAAGGAAGGAGTAAGTTAATTTAAATTATAACAGAATTTAGTTGAGAAGACACAATCTTGCCAGCTAAGTAATGTTGACATTACCACTGACTAATCTTCATGAAAGTTTATGCAGTAGGAAAGTAGGGTTTTGTGAGTTCTGCCAGAATTTCTTGTGAATATCTCTCATCACTTAATTAAGGAAAACTTTGTGTTCTTATTCTTAAAATTTTTCTGCTTAATGTGGAATGTCTGTTGCAAAGACTAAGTTGTAAGATTGTATTTATGTGCACACTTAAAACAAAAACAGTCCTTAGTAAATTAGATTTGAGGTTCTCACAATAGTGAAGTTGCATATGGTGGTGTTCTGGCTTGTGTTACAGTGGGGGTAATAGCATTCCAAATGAATATACTGCCTCCATCTTTGGTTCTGAAGATGTAATTATTATGTACTTTTAGAATGTTGGCATCTAAGATCCACAAGGTATCACAACCTAAAAGACTGCCGTGGATGTTCTGTGTAAATGTTCATGCCCATGAACAGGTTAGAAGTAACATTTCTTATATTCCATTCTGTGTGTATAGGAACAAGAAAAAATTGCCAAGTTTTTCTCATCAAACTACAACAAGGAAATGTTGGAGAAGGAATTGAGCCTAAAAGGCTGGAACTGGGGAACAGCAAGATTTAATGGCGCAGTTCTGAGTTTTGATGTTGGCAGCAACACAGCTCTTGAGGTCCCTTTAAACCACGTATCTCAGTGTACAACTGGAAAGAATGAAGTGACACTGGAATTTCATCAGGTAAGTATGTAATGATAGTGTAAGAGGTTAGTTATAGCAGGACAAAGTGGGTAGCTTGAAGGTGGACAGACATTTTAATATACATGTTGTATTGTCTGGATCAAATGATGTTTGATTACATATAGGTCTTTTTTATGTAATCCCATCTGCAGGTTAATAGGTTTTGTCATTTCCAAATTAGAGTATTTTCTAAATTTGCCATAATGTACATTCCATTATCATTGTAATAAACATTTATTTCTCTGTAAATTCTTTAACTTACATTAAGGAGTTATAGTCCACAATTGTTTACCCTCAGGGGCTCACATTAGTGGGTACAGGAAGTGGCGATTCTGAGGTACCAGAGCTACCCAGCGCCTGGGGTTCTAGCTGGGCCACCCTATCTCCAGGGGATAGAAATTTGGAGGCCTGGTCCTCCAGGTTGTTGGTTGGGCATGGGGTTTATAGCCTCATCCCAGAAAAAAGTCTAATTGTCCAGAAACCTAATGCGAGAAGAAGCTGGACAGATCTAATAGAAAAGTGAAGATAGATTGGTCTTTAGTACAGATATTTCTCTCACCTTTGTAGCTTTCTGCCGCTCTGTTGCTCATAATATTGTTATTCATTTATTTCTTTTGTTATCACTGACTATTTTATAATTTCTAGTGTTGTGAAGTATTACCAGTAAATTTTCCATCGAAGTGGAACAAGCATTTGATGCTACATAGTCTGAGCTACTGATAGAGTGTCATTAATAAACTATAAATAAATACAACAAGCATGACATTTTTCAGTCTGTTAGTAGTGCACTTGACTTCGCAGGCCATATATGTCACAGGGACTTACTTAACTTTCATGAAAGATGCCTTTATGCAATATGAAGAGTCTGTTTATGATCATAAGGATCTAGGTCTGACATGAAGAAGTTGAGAAAGCTGACAAGATGGAAGCATTTTATTTTTCAGACGTAGTTCTTTTTGTGGCTGTTTCAGAATGATGATGCTCCTGTAAGTTTAATGGAGATGAGGTTTCACATTCCTTCAAGTGAACTGGCAGGCGATGTTGATCCTGTGGAAGCTTTCCACCAGCAGGTATGAATGTTACAGTAGTGTTTTGCATAATATGAGCTTAAGCAAGACTGAAGGAATTTCTGTACTTTGCCTGCCAAATGTTTTATTTTCATCTAGGTAAGATAGGAAATTTTATTTTCAGTCTTTAATATATTGATTGAAGGGGGATAAATGGATGGATCATATATGAGAATGTATATGACATGGGAGAAATGAGAAATGCGAAAATTTGAAGGTATGGGGCCACTTGGGAGACCTTGTTTTGCAAAAGAAGATAATTTAAAATTATGGTGTGGGGGTGTTACCTGGATTCATGTGACTGAAGCTAGGTTCAGGTGAACATGATAATAAACTTACAGGTTCCATAAGAGATGGGGCATTTTTGACTAGTTAAGTGATATCATCTTAGATGAAATCTGGTGTATGTACACAGTTGTAATATTTTTCTCTGAACATATGTTACCAGGTTATGAAGCAAGCAAGTGTTATCAATTTATCTGGAGATGCCATTACTACATTCAAGGAGATTCAGTGTCTTACACCACGGTATGTATATTATTAAGGCCTGTTCCCTGCTTTCCAGTTGTTGGTGTTGTATGTAATTCCATCAGTCCTCTTATCACCCATCTCCATTTAATTCTGAGGTTAGGAATGCTCCACCTCCACTCCTCCATACATCTTCATGTGTTGTCCTCAATTAAGCAAAGGGACAACTTTACAGTTGACTGTTTCTTCAAGGTTATACAGTGAGGAAGAAAGTTAGGCTGTTATGTCTGCTGTATCACAGTGTTAGTTAAGTGCATGTGATGTAAAGCAACCAGTCAGTAACTTAATTCCCGAAGATCTGATGATATATCATATTTTTTTCTCTTTTCAGTGGCCGTTATGACATCAAGATATTTCAGTCATTTTTCCAGCTCCATGGTAAAACTTTTGATTATAAGATTCCAATGTCAACAGTTCTTCGGCTGTTTATTCTGCCCCATAAGGACAGCAGACAGATGTTCTTTGTTGTAAGTGATTTGATTCATGTAGATGTATTTTGTTTAAAATGTAAATCCTTTGATGATGTCTTGATGAACTGCTGTTCTGTTTCAGGTGAGTTTGGATCCTCCTATCAAGCAGGGTCAGACAAGATACCATTATCTGGTGTTTCTGTTCGGACAGGAGGAAGATATCACCATTGAATTATCAATCACTGAGTATGTAAATCTG